AATGACAGTATGAATAAATTCCTTTATCACATACTTCAATGTATATATACATTAGATCAGTGAACTATCATGATAATAAGTTGAGCAAGAAAATATTATGTAGATAGTCTCACTTGAAGGATTTTTTGAAGCAATCTGTAAATTGCGGCCACATACTACCAAGACACTACAAATTTATCAGTCCCTTCCCATATTTTTCAGATACAAGCTTGAATATGTATGACTGGAATAGCTGACAAGTATGTAAGGTCCCCCAGGGTGTAATCATCTCTGCTTTCCTGGGACCTAGCCCAATGCCTGATATATAAAAGGAACTGGATGAACACTCGAGTAGGTAGATGGGTGGGCAGGTAAGAGACTAATTGCGTATGGTGGTCATTAGTGTTGTTTCTCCTTCTAGGATCTCCAAAGTCAATATTCTTATCTCCCTATCTTGTCCTTACATGCAGCAAAATAACCTGTTTGGGCAAAGGAATTATGAAAGGAAGTGACATGTGCCACTTCCAGATTGGGGCATTTATTATCTTTCTATGTCCTTTTTCCACTGCTATGGTGATCATGAAAGTATACGTTGAGAGGAGGCCTTCATAAATCCCTTAGTCTCTAAGTGAATGCAATGAGGGAACCCTCTGCTAACCTCAATGGAAATACAGTTTGAGTCACACGTTTTTGTAGGGTTAAGTCACTAAAATTTTGGAGTTCTGCTACATCAGCATAACCTAGCCCATCCTGACTAGTACAATAACCAAGAAAATGACATTTATTTTAGAACAAGAAACTCATTAGAGTTTATTTTCAGAAAAAAACAAAATGAAACAGATAAGCAATCTATCTTGAACATGTCACTCAACCTGTCTGTATGATCGTTCTCTCACCTGTGAAGTGGAACAAACCATCTACCTCACAGAACAGCTGGAGGAATTAAATGTCTATTAAGTACTCAGAAAGTAGGGCATATAAAGCTTTCAATAAACAGTAGATTATTAGTATTACTGTGCACTCGATATTTATACACTACATATTTCATTTTATTCTCCCTCCTCTTACGCCTTATTCATTTTAACTTCTAGCCAATTTTTTCCATTCAAAAAATCTTTATCAACGTGGCTGGGCTACAGTGCCCAGATATTTGACCAAACATTCTGGATGTTTCTATGAAGGTGTTTTTTGGGATAAGATTCACATTTAAGTCAGTAGACTTTGAGTAAAGCAGCTTTACCCTCCATAATGTGGGTCTCATCTAACCAGGTGAAGGACTGAATAGCAAAAAAGACTGACCTCTCCGAAACAAAAAGGAATAGTGCAAGCAGGCTCTCTTTGGACTCAAATTGCAACTCTTCTCTGGGTCTCTAGCCTGCCAGCCAACCCTATAGATTTTGAACTTACCAAGCCTCCATAATCACATGAAATAATTCCTTAAAATAAATCAATCTCTGTGAAAAGAGGAATACATACACAGAAAGAAACATTCTATTGGGTCTGTTTCTCTAGAGAATTCTGACTAATAAAGATTGTTTCCCTAGTGACACTGAGGAAAATGAGAGCCTCAAAGGACCCATTCTCTTTTCCCACTACATCACACTGTAAAATGCCCTCCGAATTCACATTCTACTCTGAGGGACTAGGGTGGGAGGTGGAGGGTAATGAGAAAGAGAGAAACCTTGCAACCATAAGCCATAAAGTCCAAGGAGCCCCTTCAACATTGACATTATACATGTATACATGTAAATACCTGGATGTGACCAAGTGATGTACTATTCTTTCTCTGGTCTCCTGATTCAGTTACTTTGGATAAAAGAAAACAAATATTCCTACTAAATCAATAACATTTGAAGACTTCGAAAGAAGAGGAAAAAGAATTAGTAAAGATGTAGAAAATGAAAAGAAAAATAAAAAATAAAACTTGTGTCAATTAAGTTTCTAGAAGATGCATTATCACAACTGCCATGCATTTGGATCAATCTGAAATGATACTATGGGGAGTGTGGTTTTAGGACAGAGTGGGGAAGAAACCAGCATTTGATCTATTAAGTTCCCACCATGTCCCAAGGCACTGTGTGTGTGCTTTCATTTGTCACCATATTTAATCCGTGGTAGACTTTGCTTTGTTTAGGCTTTTTTTGGATAGTCATTCATTCACTCCCTCAAAAAATATTTATTTTGTGCCTTATATTTTTATAGGCTCTTTTGGGTACTGGAGAGTGCTATCTAGCTAACAGGGAAACATTCAAAATAGTAAGTGTGCAGGGTGAAAAAAGACCAACTATGTTGCCCTAAAGTCAAGAAGGCTTCAGAGAAGAGGTGATATTTCAGCTGGATTATAGGTAGGAGTTTAACTTGGAAAGAAGAGATAGTATTCCAGATAGAATTTCTGACACTGTAAAATTCAATTGAGTCTCTGTTCTAAGTTGCTAAAAGTACATGTGTGCATTGAGGAGCAAAGGGGAGGGAAAGGGCCTTTATATCCAGACCATTCATGGAATTTATGTGCATATAAAGATAGCTGGGAATAGCTTGGTCAACTAGACAGATATAACTACAGATAAAGAAAATCATTACAAAGGTTGATAAAAATTCAACCTTGAATGAAAACTGAGCCTTACAATTAGAATAATGATGTTTATTATTAAAAGGCATAAAAGCATTTCATGTCCTCTAACTAAAAAAAATTAAGGTTGAGTTTATACATGGTCCCAACTAAAAACCTATGGTCCAGGATTGGCAACTATGATAATCATTATTATGTAATAAATATATATGTGGAAGTTTTCTCAACAAAATGAAATAAAACCCAACTCGCTGATATAAGGAAAATTCTTATTATAGCAATACACATATATGTGGAATCTGTGTCCTAAAATATAAACTAAGCCAAAGGGTGGCTGAGTAAGGCCAAACAAATCACCAAAAAGGAAAAAGAACTCTTAAATTATATTTCTAAATAGTTTAAGTGGTCAAGAAAGGAATGTATAATGAAGGAAGATAAATTAAGGGCTCACAGATCATTTGGTCTCTTCCACCCTTTTGTTCCCCTTTTTCTGCTGATAGTTCCCTTTTTCATAATTTCTCTCCTCCTTCTTCTTTTGTGTGAGAGAGAAAGACACAACCGACTGAGCCACCCAGGTGCCCTTCATCATCACTTCTAAGGAGAATTCAGAGATCCTCATTCCAAACGTTCTCTTTCAATTTTATTTTACCAATAAGACTCTGCAAATAATCATATACAAAATCCCCAAATATGAAACAGACTAAAGCTCAGGCTCAAAGAGTTCAGAGAGAGAGGGGTTACTGAAGCACCCTAACTTGGCCTCCACTTTACCCTTCATCCACCAACCCTCTGAGACAGCTCCCCAAATAGCCTTAATTTTCCTTAGCGCAGTATGTAATATGCTGCTCCTTGTTCAATCCTCTCAATTTACAAATGAAAGTGTAGCTTAGTGAATTAATTTAATTAAGAAGTCTGAAAAGGGGATCCCTGGGTGGCGCAGCAGTTTGGCGCCTGCCTTTGGCCCAGGGCGCGATCCTGGAGACCCGGGATCAAATCCCACGTTGGGCTCCCGGGGCATGGAGCCTGCTTCTCCCTCTGCCTATGTCTCTGCCTCTCTCTCTTTCTCTCTCTGTGACTATCATAAATAAATTAAAAAAAAAATTTTAAAGAAGTCTGAAAAGAAAAATCCCTGTTTCATTTCCTCTGCTGAAATAAAATGCTTTCTCTTCCTCATAAACTGTAATTTAAATTTCTGTGTTAAAAATAATTCCTTATAAGTTACAAATTCATTCAATCGGTCTATCTGGATTCAAAATTCAGGGCTAAATATTCTGCTGGGGACATGTCATCTGTTTTCATCACCAAATCCCCAGATCAAGAAACTGCGTTTACTGTTTGTTTGTTTGTTTTTTAAGATTTTATTTACTTGAGAGAGACCATGCACTTGCGGGGTGGAGGGAGCACAAGCAGGTGAGAGGCAAAGGGAGAAGGAGAAGCAGACTCCTCGCTAAGCAGGGAGCCCTGCGCCATCCCAGGACCCACGGACCATGACTGAGCCAAAGGCAGAGGCTTAACAGACGCAGCCAATCAAGGGCCCCAAGAACAGGGTTCAGAGAAGTACTGTAACTTTCCTAAGTTCACAGAGCTAGCAGAGTGGAATGCTGTTCTATTCAACTCCAAAAGCCAAACCTCAGACTCTTGCATTCTTTCTAAGTCCAAACCTTTTCCTAATCTTTACCTATCTTTACACAGGTTCCCAGAAATACAAACTGTAAGAGATCTTGTCACTTCACACAGGCTTGTCAGAGAGTGCCTCATGCTTCAGGCAGCCAAGCACAAAGCCATCAAGTCTACTTTAAACTTCGAAACTCAAGCTTCAGAACTGTAGAGATGCTAATCCCCACCCTCAAATCTTGACTTTCTTCTACAACTTTCTTTACAACCGTGGGCTACACGTCTGTTCAGTCTTATGGAGAACAGGAATGGTTAAAAAACCCTTAATCAAAGGGCGACAAAATCAACTTTGAGCTGAGCAAGAGATGACAGGCTGGTGTTTGGGGTTGAATACTACATATTACCTAATAGGATACTGGAAATGTGTATTTAAAGGCTGCTTTTGGACAAACGATGACTGTCACGACGGAGTAGGAGTCACAGTTGGCATCAAACGATTTTAATTTGACGGGAGGTGAGGAGAATTTGAATTAGAGCATCATCTTCTGGGAGCAGAAGCTGAAGTGACTGTCACAGCCAGTTTTAGAAGAGAGTGTGGAAACCAGGATTGATATTAAACTACTGGTTAACGGGAGAAGAGATTTTAAACAGAACTGAAACTTGGTGCCACTGTCTAGAAACTGTGAGCCAAAGATCGGACAAGTCCTAGGCATTAGGGGTCTGAAATTCTGGGTGAGCTCCAGTGCCTAGGCTCGGGTCCATTAGGCAGGGACTGCGAAGCCCGAGTCCTCCCCGACGCCCGGCCCGGCCCGGCCCGGCCCGGCCCGGCCCGCCTTACCTTCTGTAGGATGTAGTGAACCGAGTACTTCGCGCCAGTAAAATGGCGGGAGGTGAAACCGGTTGACCAGCGCAGGCTGCTGAGGGCCTTCACGGCCGGCGGTACAGGGATGGCGACCCCAGGCGTCAGGAGAGCCAGGAGCAGGAGCAGGACGGCGGGGCGCCCCATGGCTACGGCTCCGGCTGGCGGCTGCAGTGCGGGTGGAAGCGAGACCGGCAGAGACCCGGAGCTAGAGCCGAGCCCAGCCCGCAGCCCCGCCCGCCGCACAGAGGCTCCTCCCCGGAGCAGCACCGCCCCGGTCCCCGACGGCGCCGCAGCCTCGCCGCTCCTCTGGCGCAGTCCCCTCTTTCGAGTCCACCTTCGTCGCGGCCCCAGTCCAAGTCCACCCTTTCCCACCGGACCGCCGGAACCCCATCCTGGGGCCAGAGCGCTCTCCAAGCCCAGCCCCTCCTTTCCTGCCAGGCCCGGTCGGCCTCAATCCCATTGCCACACCCCTTGCCCTCCGCAAACCCCATATAATGACAATAATAATAATAGCTGCCATGACAATTCCTTGAGCGTTCTCTACGTGTCCCTATGTCGCTAGGCATGATGGCACACACTCCTCTAACTCGAGCATCACAGCGATCCGTGTGTCGCGTGTGACTGCTACTCCCACTGACAGAGGAGGAAACCGAGGTCCCGAGGGGTGTAGGGCATTGCACTGGGTTACTCAGGAGGCGCGGGAGCGCGGCTTGGCAGACCGCTCGGTCCGGCCCCTCGCGTCCCTCCTCCATCATGTCAGCCCACCACCTCTGGCGGTAGTCTGTTCACGCATCGCCCCGAACCTCCGCGCTGCCCACACAAGCCATCCCTCAGCCGGAGTCTCCGGGGCCCGGAGAGCCCCCGAGTCCCGCTAGGTCCGGGCCCCTTCGTCCAGGACACGGCCCCCGTCCCCTGCCCCGGGCGGGTAGCCCGCTTCAGGCCCCGCTTCCATCCCCCTCTTGCGTCTTCTCCGCGCCACCAACCTCCTCTGCCCAGCTCCCACTCCTCCTTCCAGGCACCCTGCCGAACCCCGATCCGAGGGGCGCTACCACCCCTTCCTGGGATCCCTACGCTGCCCCCAAAACCAACTTTATAGACTGTGCCACTGCGGCACCGGTCGGGGAAAAACATCCCGCAAACCCTGTCTCTACCCACAGTTTGACGAAAATGGTCGTTCCCAGAAACTCGCAGAACGCCGCGTTCACTCTCCACCCTCGGCGGCGCCTTCTTCTGATTGGCTGTGAGCAACCACTGCCCAAGCGTCACTTCCGGCGGAAAAGGACGCGGGAGTTTCGGCTGGAAGCTTGATTCGTCGCCGCGTCCCAGCGGTCGGCACCGCGGAGCGTCGCGCGGACGAGTCTCGGTCGTGTGCCTCAGGTGAGGAGGAGTTAGTCTCTTTCTGCAGAAGGGTGGTCATGAGAGTAAAGAGGGGAAAAGGTCCGTCATTTAGAATTAGGCAGGGCTGTTGATACAGTTCAGCGAGCGTTTCCTCCACATTTGCCTGGCCAGCGAGCTACATGAGGGTGAGCCTCTGGAACCGATAATACAAAGGAAGAGCGCTATCCGGGTTTTGAGGTGCTCAGAGATGCGGCTTTAGCAGGCTTTGCTGAGTAATTGAGTGCTGAAAAGGGTCTTTTCCACATTGCTTTGTGACCTAGAGGGAAGAGGGTTTTGTCAGTGTGCTCAAATCGGAAACTTGAAATTGTTCTACATTCCTTGCCTATCTTATACTCAGCCAGTCATTATATCTCAAATCCACACAGTCCTCCACTTGTGGGCCACTTGGAACACCGTGACTTCTCCATAGCTCCACAGTCTCCAGCCTCCCAGCTGGCTCTTGCTTCGTGTTACTTTCCAATCCAGTCTCCACATTGCCAGGCTATATGGTAAGTCGCAGATCTGGCCAGAGCACTCCCGGTTTAAAATCTTTACTTGCCTCCTGTTTGCCCTCAAGGTAAGCCTAACCTTCTTCACATATTTTACAGGGCCCTTCTTGCTAGCCTTTGCCTGCCTCTCCATATTTGGAGCCCTAGGCTCCAGCCCTATGAAAAGTCTTTTTGAGTTCCTCAAATCCACCATCTCACCTCACCTCCAGACCTCTTCTAACCTGGCCAATTCATACTCATTCCTTAAGTTTCAGTTTTATTGTCTTTTAACTCAGGAAGCCTTTCTGCACCCTGCAAAATTGGGTCACAAAGTACCTAGTAGTTAGTGATAGCAGATAGTTTGGATATTGTTTTGACTTATTTATTTGAGAGAACGCACAAGGAGAGGGAGAAGCAGGCTCCTCGCTGAGCAAGGAGTCTGATGGGGGCTCCATCCCAGCACTCCAGATCATGACCCAAGTGGAAGGCATACACTTAACTGACTGAGCCACCCAGGCACCACTATCCTGCAGAGAGGTTTTTTTTTTTGTTGTTGTTGTTTTTTGTTTTTTGTTTTAAGATTTTATTTATTTATTCATGAGAGACACAGAGAGGCAGAGACACAGGCAGAGGGAAAAGCAAGCTCCATGCAGCGAGCCCGACGCGGCACTTGATCCCAGATCTCCAGGATCATGCCTTGGGCTGAAGGCAGCGCTAAACACTGAGCCACCCAGGCAGTCCTTGAGCCCTGAAGATAGTTGTAAGTGCCTCCCTCTGCCAAGAATTACTAGGTACTGGGATTACAATAGCTGAACAAGTTAGATTCCTCACCAAATGGAACTTAACTCTTATAGGTGGAGTTAAGAATAGAAGGGGAAACTGAGTTAGGCTCGTTTCAGATGGCCTCTCTCAAGTCTTGAAAAACAAAGTTTGACCAAGTAAATTTGAAGATCAAGTTAGCTTTATTAAATGATTCAGACAACATCTTATCTAGCAAATAAAAGAGCGCTCCAAAGAGTCATACAAAATAGGTTTTTATAGGAAAGAAAGTAGGGCAAGGAAGTTATTAGCAAAAGAAAAGGATTGTTCTGGGCAAGGTCAGTCTTCCTTTGGGGGAAGGGCAAGGAGTCTTAGGCAGATTGCCTTTCTGAGATGGAGAGAGCTCTTGTTGGCACTGATCCAGAAAATTCCTTATTGACCAGTTAAGACTATATTTCTGGGGGAAGTTGAAACTGCAGTTAGATTAGTAGTTAGCCCCAGTTTGGGGACTCTGCAAATGACTTCATTTGGGGCCTGTGGCTTTTTTTCTAACACAAGAGTTGACTCTTAAAGCAAGGCCTAAAAGATGAGAATGATCCAGCCATGCAGTAAAGAAAATGAAGAACATTCCAGAATGAATAGATTGTACAAAGGCCTGCTAAGCCAGGGAAGAAGTTGTCATCTGAGTGCTCAAAAACCTAAGGAAAGATCTGTGCTGCTGGAAGGTATTCAGAAAGGATAGGTGATGAGATGAGCCTTGAGAGATGGGCAGGGACCAGATCTTGCAGTTAGGAAGCTAATGGGGCAGCAGAAGCAACAGGTGATGATGTTTGGATTACGTAGTAGCAGAACATATGTGGGAAAAGTGGACAGTGGTTCTTAGATTTGGAAATAGAAGGACATACAGATGAGTATAATGTGAGACTTGAGGGAAAAAGAAATGAAAGATGATTCCTAAGTATCTGACCTGACTTAACTGGTTGGAGAATAGTTCTATTTGCTGACATGGAGAAAATTTCAAGAAAAGAATGTGCTGTCTGTTCGATTGAATGGGGGCCCCAAATGTGGGGCAGTGATTGAGTGAAAACCAGTGGCATGGGTGGTGAAAGGATTCACCCAAGGCAGCACAAAGGAGATAGTTTATTGAATATACCTCAAGGGAGTGATGGGCAGGACAGCAAAGGTGAGACTGACAGGAGAGCATGAGTAGGGCTGTATCTAAAAGGGAAGATAAAGAGGTATGGCAACATAGGGAATTTTCCCTTTTTTTGGTAACTGTGCCTGCTGTAAGTAGCCCATTGATCTGTTTAGGGCCTATGGATATTTTGAAGTAGGTCTCCTGTCTGTATTCAGGCAGGTGGTCACCGTAGGCCCTTTTGCCTTGCTCTGCATTACATTGCTCAAGCCTGTTGTCTAAAAGCAGCCTCTACAAAGAAGTTTGAAAGGAAACTAAGAATTCAGGTTTTTTACATATTAAAACTTGAGGTGTCTATAAAACATCAAAATAATGGCTGTCTATAACTGTCTCCTCCATGTGGAAGTCTGGAGCTTGCAGATATTGTATGTGCCTTAATGTCACTTCCTTAGTAGTTACACATTGTCTTAGCCAACAGTTTATAAATTTCTTGAACACAAGAGCCTGTGTTTTCTATCTGTAATTCTGTCACCCTCCCTATCCCTAAAATAGTACTTCATCTATCATAAACTCAATGGACAAACTGTGTTGTATTCACCAAGAGTTTCCTGGGTGGTGTCTTGGGGGTTTTTTATTGTTAAAGGATTTTTTTTTTTTTTTTTTTAATTCAAGTAGGCTCCACACCCAACATGGGGCTTGAACTCATGAGATGAAGAGTCGCATGCTCTGGATCCCCTGATGGTTCAGCGGTTAAGTGTCTGCCTTCAGCTCAGGGCCTTATCCTGGAGTCCCTGCATGGAGCCTGCTTCTCTCTCTGCCTCTCTCTTTCTGTGTCCGTCATTAATAAATGGATAAAATCTTTAAAAAAAAAAAAAAAGTCACATGCTCTAAGCTAGCCAGCTACCTGTCTTGGGTGGTATTTTAAAAGTATTTTTCACCAATATTTCTGCAAATAAAAGAGGTTTCGTTTTTTGTTTAATTTTCTGTCTCCTGCTTTCTCATCTCTGTCTAGAATTTTCACGTTATGTCAGTAAATCATTTCTCAAGGATTTGTTATGACTACTTTTAGAAAACTTAGACAAAGTATGCACCCTTGGGGGTAAACCATTAAGTAAACAGCTCAAAATATAATACAGCCTGTACAATATAAAACAGGAAATCTGAGAGTAGCAAGGTGACAGATTTTCTTGCATAGCAAGAACGGTTTTGGGAGGCTGCCCTAAGATTGGCCACTCTGACATGAAGATTGTTTTGAGTTAAAAGCAATCAAAACCCAGCAGATTCAGGAAAAGCTTTTCTGCAGCCCCACCCCCTGCCCGCCGACTGTCTAAAAAAGCATTTAGATAGAAGACCTCATGCAAGAAGAGAGCTATCATCACAGATAACTATATTATGATAAATAGTAAAGTAAGGTAGACAGGAGAAACCTAGCAAGGCCTTATGATCAAAATCCCCTCTTATGGGATCCCTGGGTGGCGCAGCGGTTTGGCGCCTGCCTTTGGCCCAGGGCGCGATCCTGGAGACCCAGGATCGAATCCCACGTCAGGCTCCCGGTGCATGGAGCCTGCTTCTCCCTCTGCCTGTGTCTCTGCCTCTCTCTCTCTCTCTGTGGCTATCATAAATAAATACAAATTAAAAAAAAAAATCCCCTCTTATTCCCATTGTTTTTGAATGGCCCCCGCAAACATTTGTTTACCAAACATTTACTTTTTTTTATTTTTTCTGAGGATTGCATGTCTTCCTTTGGAAGTCCTGGACCCCTACCCACTTCTATTTAGTTTGGGATGACATATATATACCTTATTTTGTCTGAGTGTCTTTGGAATTTTCAAGTCTGTGGATTCCCTGTATGTATGCATGCTATTAAATTTGATTTTCTTGTTAATCTGTCTCATGTCAATTTGATTCTTGGTCCAGGTAAAAGGACTTTAAACAGAACAGGAATTTGTGTCCCCCAAGAATGTTAAACATTTAAATTTTTCTGGATGGGATTATTCTAGATTTTCTAGTCTAGCCCGAAGGAGAAAAAAATTACGTCAGTGTGTGTGCATATAATAGGGGCATGTTTTTTCATATTAAGGTGCCAACTAGGAAATTGGTAGTGAAGAAGGTAAGCCGAAACGACCCCAGATAGTAGACCAAAGATTTACAAAGTAATCTAAAAGACTGTAATGCTCTCAGGCTTTATAGTTTAACTATAACTGCATTAATCACAAATGTTGGTCACCATCAGACAGCCTAACTGGCTAGGCCAGTGATTTTCAAGTGTTGGCAACATAAACATTATCTGGGAACTTGTGAGACATGCAAATTCTCTGGCCCTCGTCCCAAATTTACTGAATCAGAACTCAGGTTAGGACGTAGAAGTCCATTTTATCAGGCCCTCCAGGTGATTTTGATAGACTCTAAAAGAGAACCACTGGGCTAGTATGAAAATGGGTGGTAATCAATGAGTTGGGCCCACCGACAAAACTATCTTTCGTGAAAAAACAAACAAAAAAAACTATCTTTCGTGTGAAAAGGATGCACTAGCTATATTAGCCTGATTCCATTAAAATATTTGATTAACCTAATACCCCTTCTTCAAACAACTTTCTCTATAATTTGGCTTAACATATAGTCATACCCAAAAGAAAACATGGGCTTAAAATGTGTCCTTCCTGTGCTGTAATTTTTCATGATATATTAGTAAAGTGTCTTTGGATATGATTTAGATCCCCATATAGCTTGACTAGAAAGAGAAAGCAAGTATTCCATGTTAAATACTGGACCCCACATATTTTAATAAATATAAGTCAGAATCTTCTTCATTCTCGGACATTCCTGGGAAATCTCTGGGCCTTCAAAACAAAAGCCTACTGAGCCCCTAATTAGTTCCCATCAACCTACCCTAACACATTTTTCTCCCCCTCTATCTTAATCTCCTTGTTTATACTTTTAGGTGTTAGAGATTGAGAGGACCCAAAGTTTTCTTTGTATGTTATTTCTAAGTTCCCTACCTAGTATTTTTATTATATTTATTGATTTTTTTAAAGTGTAAATGTAATACATCTTCAAAATACTTTAAACATACAAAGAAAATAAAAATCACCTTTAATCCGATAACTGCGAAAGATTATGTATTTGCATAACTATTCTCTCCCCACTCTTCCAAGCTAAGACTCAGTCCCCTTATATTTTCTCATGGCATTGTGTACATTTCTTTTATAGAATCTGCCACGTTTTCAGTAAAATTTTTTCATGTGATTGTCTTATTTTTCCCATCACTTATCCCCAATACCTGATATTTAGCAGCTGCACAACAAATAACTGATAAATTGAATTGGAATATGATTTGCTGGCTGTGATGGAGCCAAAGAAATGAAATGCTGTATTACCATCCTTCCCAATAAAATCAAGAAGAAAGATACATTGCAGGAGATACTACATATGAAATTGTTTCCAGGTCATTGTAATTGTAAGGTTTTGTAACTTTTTTTTTTCTTAAGATCTTAATTTATTTATTCATGAGAGACAGAGAGAGAGAGGCAGAGACACAGGCAGAGGGAGAAGCAGACTCCATGCAGGGAGCCGGATATGAGACTCAATCCTGGGACCCCAGGATCACGCCCAGAGCCAAAGGCAGATGCTTAACCGCTGAGCCACCCAGGCATCCCTGTAACTTTGATATTTACTTATTCCTGATCCTTCAGTTCTCCATCAAACGTGAAGTCACCACAGTACAAGTCAAGCAGTGGAGAGATAAACTAGATGATAAATGTCATAAAGGAAATATTATGAAAGCAGCAAAAAGAACAGTGACTTCCTGAAAGGATCTTCTTGGATTTTTGTCCACCAGACAATGAGAAGCCTTTTTGCCATTTTTGGGGGGGTTACCAGGTGAAACAAATAGTAAAAACAGTTTACTGACCTTTTTCATTTTAGTTCTCAAATTTGCCATTAAGTTGTAAATACTTAGTTTTTTAGACATACTTTGATCCACCAGAGGGCAATAGACCCTTATATAAAGACAATTTAACCAACTTTAAAAATACAGCAATTAGTGCTTGCACAATTAATTTAGAAATTAAATATTTCTGCTTGTGTTTTTTGTTTGTTGGTGAGCTTCCCAATTAGACAGTAAGCATTTTATTTTTCATTGTTTCACCTACAAATTTATCAGTGTCCTAGTTATCTTTAAGGCTTAATCCATTTCCTAAAGTTTGAATTTGATAACAGTTGTGTAAAGAATATAATTTGGTGCATGCCTATATAGTTGTGATACAATAAAAAATTCTAGTTTAGAGCCCTAGAGAAGATAGTCTCTGCTCATTATATGATTGCAATTAAGGGGAAAAAAACAAATGAGGATATAATTTGAATGATTAAGATAAGTTTTAAATAAAGTACTAGATATGAAAACACTGTGCACTCTGATGTATATCCAATTATGATTATTTTATGATTTGGTAAAATAGTGGGTTGTTTTGTTTTTGTTTTAAAGAGAGAGGCAGAGAGAGAAGCAGGCTCCATGCAGGGAGCCCGATGTGGGACTCAATCCCAGAACTCCAGGATCATGCCCTGGGCCAAAGGCAGATGCTCAACTGCTGACCCACCCAGGCGTCCCAAATTGTGTTTTATATTTAATGGTATATGGTAAAACTGGCTTAAGAAGAGGAAAGCTGAAAATCTGGAAGGACGTTGACTGCTGATGTTCAGATCGACAGTTTTTAATCTCAGCAGAGATTAGCCATGGGGATATAATGAGATGGTCCCTCTAAGATCTTACTCTGGTTCCAGGAGAAAACATTAAACACATAAGTTTACTATGATGTGCTAAGTACCAAATTAAAAAGTAGAGTCCTTAGGCTGGGAAAGCTTCCTGGAGAAGAAAGCTTCAGAGAAGACTTCTTAGAAAATAAACATTAGTCAGTAAAGTAAAAGAACATTTTAGACAGAAGGAAGAAGGAAAAGAAGCAAAGGCAGAGAAATGTAAAACATATTGTAGTGGGGGAGTAGTATAGGTAAGAAAGAGAATAAGGGATTCAACTCAGATTTTTTTTTTTAAGATTTTATTCATGAGAGACAGAGAGAGAGAGAGAGGCAGAGACACAGGCAGAGGGAGAACCAGGCTCCATGCAGGGAGCCTGACGTGAGACTCAGTCCGGGGACTCCAGGATCATGCCCTGGGCCAAAGGCAGGCGCTAAACCGCTGAGCCACCCAGGGATCCCCCAACTCAGATTTTTTTGTGTGTGTTCTCTTTAGCATAAATTCCTAACACATAAAGAATAAGAGGAAGAATTGAGAAAAAAGGCCTTAGGAAGAATAAAGCCAAATGGAAATGACTAGACAAACCAAATGATTAGACATCTTTTGGTTAATAAAAGGCTTTTTATTTTTTTTATTTTTTTTAAGATTTTTATTTATTCATGAGAGAGACACACACACAGAGAGAGAGAGAGAGAGAGAGGCAGAGAGAGAAGCAGACTCATGCAGGGAACCTGATGTGGGACTCGATCCCAGGACTCCAGGATCATGCCCTGGGCCAAAGGCAGGCGCTAAACCACTGAGCCACCCAGGGATCCCCGAGGAAGGCTTTTTAAAGGGGGCTTTAGGGATGACTGGGTGGCTCAGCAGTTGAGCGTCTGCCTTCAGCTCAGGGCATGATCCCAGGGTCTGAAAATTAAGTTCCACATGGGACTTCCCTTGAGGAACCTGCTTCTCTCTCTGACTATGTCTCTGCCTCTCTCTCTTTGTCTCCCTTGAATAAATAAATGAAATCTTTAAAAGAGGGGGGAGCTTTAAATGAAAAAGGGAAACCCTATTATGATGTATATACCTACTCTTACAAAATTTTTTCTGAAGTTGCAAAATTCTGCTTAGAGTTTATTATTTATTCAGTGAACGTTGATTAAGAACATACTTTGTGCTAAGCACTGGGGTATATAGTAGAACACAAGTTTGACAATGTCAGACTAGGGGTAGGGGTAGAACAAACAAAAATAGGTAAGATGATACATTGATACATGCATTTTCATGGTTGGAAATATCACAAGCAGGATTGGTACTATAAAAGAATGAAATGGGTGATGTCATAAAAACTAAAAGGAAACATGTTCTAAGGGGTAACATTAAGGATGAGAATGAACCAACTATTTGAAGAACACTCTAGGCAAAGAGAAAAGCAACAGAAAGTTAAAAAGAGGAGAACATTGGGGATTCCTGGGTGGCTCAGCGGTTTGGCGCCTGCCTTTGGCCCAGGGCGCAATCCTGGAGTCCCAGGATCATCGAGTCCCGCGTCGGGCTCCCAGCATGGAGCCTGCTTCTCCCTCCTCCTGTGTCTCTGTCTTTCTCTCTCTCTCTCTCTCTCTCTCTCTCTCTGTGTGTGTGTGTGTGTGTGTGTGTGTCTCTGTGTCTATCATGAATAATAAATAAATAAATCTTAAAAGAGAGAGAACGTTGCTATTGTTCTGCTTCTCTGTTTTATACAAGGATCTTAAAGCACTTTATACTCTTTGTTGACCATGTAACATTTTTATTTTTCTGTTTGCAGAAGAATTGTCTCTTTTTTCCTTTAAGCTGTGTAGAAATATATATACTGAAATCTAATAAAGTGATTTTTTTTCAGCCTAAAAGAACCATTACCCAATTTAGTTTCTTTAAAAGAATCACGTAAGTTTATTTACATTCCTTCCTGTTAATGGAAGAAACAAGTTCTTATAGCTCTTCTAAAGATGTGAAAAGGGCTAACTGATGTCATTCCTGAATTACTGGAATACAACGTTTATTCAAAAACAGAATATTTGTTTGAGCTACTCTGTTTTAAATCTTATTTTCTGGGATCCCTGGGTGGCGCAGCGGTTTAGCGCCTGCCTTTGGTCCAGGGCGCGATCCTGGAGACCCGGGATCGAATCCCATGTCGGGCTCCCGGTGCATGGAGCCTGCTTCTCCCTCTGCCTATGTCTCTGCCTCTCTCTCTCTCTCTCTCTTTCTGTGACTATCATAAATAAATAAAAATTAAAAAATAAATAAATCTTATTTTCTTACTGTTAATGCTTTTTTAGGAGATTTTATTTCAGAGCAGAGAGAGAGAGAGAGCACGAGCAGGGGGAAGGGCAGAGGGAAAAGCAAAAGCAGACTCCCCACTGAGCAGGGAGCCTGATGCAGGGATGTGGGCTCAATCCCCGGACTCCGAGATCATGACCTGAGTTGGAGGCAGACGATTAGCTTGACCGACTGAGCCACTCAGGTTGCCCCTTGTTAATACTTTTAATTAGGCAGAAAAATAAAATGTTTTCCAATACATTGATACCACAAAAGCGAATAGACATCTGTTCATTTTATAGTGGAGGCTAAGTTGTTTTCCTAAGAAATAAATAATGTATGTACATTTGAAGATGTGCTGTTCATCCTGTGGCTCTTCTGTTTTTTGTAGGCCATAGTGAGGACACATGAACAGAGGAAGAAAGTTTCTTCTGGCCTCAGTTCTTGCTCTCCAGAATTCCAATTTTATCTATCCTTCATGTCAGAAGTGCTTCTCTCGGATAATCCTGGTCTCCAAAAGGTAAAAGTAAAGCCTGTAAACGTGAGAGAGGAAATACATGTGTACACTAGTTTTCCTACTGCTCAAGGGCAAATAAGGATTAAATTCACCACCAGACACCATCCCAAGAGTAGAAAGGAGACTGTAACTGTGCTGGGGCTTTTGGGGAAAGGACTTGATAAACCAGGACTACGTGTGGGAGCCAGAGCATTGGCCTTCAGGCTGGACAGAGGGGCAGCAGTAGGGGGAATTGCCAAGTTCAGATCTCTCTCAGGCCAAGTAGAACAGTGTATGTTTCTGCCTTTGCCTTTTCTGCCCTCAAGCCCTGAACAAAGCTCTAGCTATTCTTCCTTCATCTTAATGCTGACTCTGAAGAGGGTCTCTAAGTCTCCTTGGGAGTTTTGGTTCCACACTGGCTAAGTGGTGCCTGATGACCTCCGGGAGCACTCCAGGAGGCACCAAGCATGGAGACCCAGCCTTTCCATGAGAGTGAAGATGATCCAGAGTCCGGGGACAAAGGTTCACTGCCACAACCACTCATTACTGAAGTGGAATCACAGGTGTTCTCAGAAAAACTCAGCATCTCTACATTTGAAACTGCCTCTGAAGTTGAGGGCACTTTGGAGCAGCAACGGAGAAATCCCAAAATGGAGAGACTGAGGCAGTCCCCAGCCCAGGGGAAAGGTTTCAGGCAGTTGATTATCACCCATAAGAAAACTCCCACAGGGAGGAAGACCATAAATGTGAATGTGGTAAAGTCTTCATTTATAACTCACACCTTATAATCCACCAAAGAATTCATTCTGGAAAAAATCCCTTTAAGTATAGCAACTTTAGGAAAAGCTTCAACTAGAGCTCAAACCTCATTTAGCATCAGAGGATTCATTCAGGAGAGAAGCCCTATGAGTATAATGAGTGTGGGAAGACCTTCAGTCAGCATTCATATCTAAGTCAGCATCTGAGAATTCACAGTGACGAGAAACCTTTACTATGTAAAGAATGTGGGAAAGCGTACAGGTGGAGTTCAGAGCTCCTTAGACATCAGAGAATTCATCCCAGAGAAAAGCTTGCCCAATGTGCTGAAGGTAAAAGTGCCTCCAGACAGAATTGTACTTTTTTTTTTTTAATTTTTATTTATTTATGATAGTCACACAGGGAGAGAGAGAGAGGCAGAGACACAGGCAGAGGGAGAAGCAGGCTCCATGCACCGGGAGCCCGACCTGGGACTCGATCCCAGGTCTCCAGGATCGTGCCCTGGGCCAAAGGCAGGCGCCAAACTGCTGCGCCACCCAGGGATCCCCCAGAATTGTACTTTTGTTTAATCAGTTGTAGAACTAGATTACATAAAAGTTATAAATTACTTAACAAACCAACAAACAAAAACACCATACCAGGACAGATTCTCTTGGGTTGGTCCAGAATAGAATTGTCTGGTGACAATTGTCTGGTGATCCTCTAGTGCCAGAGGGAGGTTTCAGATTACCTCCAAGTCTTTGGTATGTACCTGCTTTAGAGGAGAAAAATAGCTTCTTGAGAATAAATCCCAATCCTTATGGAAAAACTTTGTTCACTTCTGGGATATCCCTAGAATGATGTAGGATTTTTTTTTTGTTTATTATTTGTTTATTTTCACATGATACCTAGGTTACTTTTTTAATAAATAAATTCCTTCAGAACAGGGACTATTACAGAAATCTCTGTACCTTTCAGTAGCTTGACACAATACTTTATTGTGGTGCTAAGATTCAGGCCAACTATACCTGAAACACTAAGATTCTTTGATTTTTAAAGTACAATGAGGGTTAGGGTTGGAGTTCCTTAAAAATACTTTCTCTGGGGTACCTGGCTGGCTCAGTCAGTTAAGTGTCTACCTTCAACGAAGGCCTTTTCACTCTCATTATCTTAAAAGCACATAGTGAATTTTTCCAGAAGCTACATAACGTGTTATATTACAACAGATTGAACTGAGAAGGAAATACGAGGATCTAACTGTAGTTATTAAGTCAGACTTTAAAGAGATTTGCAAACTATAAAACAATGCCACTCTTGACACTAATTTTTTTGTTTTGAAACACATAGTTATTTTTCATAAAAATAGGTTTTTTGGTTAACCATGCAATGGATCTATTATTTGAGAGAATTAATAGATATTTTTTTAGATTTCTTAATTTCTTTCATTTAATTTCTCATATTCAGTTAAAAACAAAGATAAATATTAGCCACATAGACAAAAGCTCTCTGGTGTTCTCAATAGTTTTTAAGAATATAAAGGATCCTGAGACCAAAAAATTTGAAAACTGCTACTTCGTAACAAATGACATTTTGGAAAATAGGGGTGCCTCCAGAAGTTAAATTGGGACTGTGATTTGAATGTGTTGTCTCTACCCTTCTCAAAATGTGGTCTGAGAAGAGATATATCAGTATCACCTGGGAACTTGTTAAAAATGCAGAATCTTGGGCTTTGTCCCAAACTTAATGAATCAGAATCTGTTTTAACAAAGTAAACAAATTATTTCCCCCCATTTACAAATGGAGCAATTGGGGTGAATTTTATGACCCAGATCTAAGGATTTCAGTTCCTGGCCTGCAATTTTTCCCTCAATGATGTCTTATGACAACTCTAAGAACTAAAAGGCTAATTATAAACTATCTTGCAAATAGAGAGTACCTATGATAGTCTAATAAAAACTAGGTTTATTAGTATTAATGTATATACACACTATATTTTATATTCTTTAAAATATTTGTATTATCTTTATAATATTTAATATGATGAATATGTATAATCTAAGAACAAAGCTGGATTAAAATAAATAAATGTTAGTATGGAGTAATAGACTAGATCTTTTTAAACTTTAATATGGATACAAATCCCCTGGGTTGCTTGAAAACATTTGTAAACTACAAAATGCTGATACATATTTTTCTAAGATTTGCTAGGAATTTTTCATTAGACCTGAATGTAAGATAAGGTTAGATGAATGGATTGGCACAGAGCCATTTTCAATGTGGGGGGAAAAAAATAATAAATTAACACAGCTGTAGTGATGGTGAGTAAACCAGTAACTTAGACAAAGGATTAACCTTTGTTCAAAATAGTCACCTTGTGAGCTATGGATTTTAGGCTCCCCCTAGTGGCTTTCTGGCAATAATCAAAATTATATGACTGACTATTTCTAACATTATTTTCTATTAGCATTTTGTGGCTCATTTTTAACCCCAGTTATTAGAACATGAAGGAAGAATAAAGTCCTGGATTGACCATTACCATAAGATGTATTAAGGTCAGTTTGCTAAATTAAAAACCTGAAAGATGGCTATCAGTTATAAGACATTGCAAACAAGAAAAGAGGGGAACACTAAGTAGAAATGACAGTAATCATCACAGTATTTAATATTATGAAGAGGAAGCCGACTGACATTTATTAATTTGGCAAGACCTGCACTAGATCCTTTCTTTCCTTTTTTTTTTTTTTTCTTTTTCTTTTTCTTTTTAAGAATTTACTGAGAGACAGAGCTCACACTTGGACAAGTTGGGGTAGGAACAAAGGGAGAAGGAAAGAAAATCTCATATGGACTTCATGGTGAGCCTGGAGCCCAACTCAGGGCTTCATCTCGCCACCCAGAGATCATAACCTGAGCTGAAATCGAGTCCCGTGCTCAGTTGACTGTGCCACCCCACACGCCCCTCTTTATTTTCTTTTTTATGCTTTGTCACATTTTATTCCTCAACCCCGTTTTTTACAGATTAAAGAAATAAGGTTTAAGTGATTTAGTAACTCAAGACCAGACAACTAGTACATAATAGAGTTAGAGTGGACCACAGTAGTTTTTGACAAAAAATTCTCCCTTAAAAACAAGTTAAAAAAGATATTTCACACCTAATATTGGTAACCTAATAAATTCTCAGCATATTCCAAAGAAGTAAGTGTTCTTCTTTGATTCTTATATTGTTAGATTATTCTTATATTGGTGAGAAAAATAAAACTAGATATTTATCAATATTTATTAAATGTTTCAAGATAATTCATTATTCTCTTATCAAATACTATTTTTTGGTTTTTGGGGGGTATTTTTTGTTTCTTTAAAAAAATAGATACTGTTTTCTTAACAAAAGATAAACAGTAAACATCAGGTCTTCTGTTGGTGTGATGCTCACTTCATTGTTTTCTTTGCCTCCCAATTCCAGAGTATAATATACCTCAATTTGTTAAGGGTAATTTAGCTACCTAATAAGAACATCTCCTTTCCCTTTCTGTCTCCCTCTTACCTTCCTTCTCTCTCTCTCCTGCACGCAATTTTTCTTCATTATTTCTCTGCTTTTTTAAAGTAGCTCCATGCCCACTGTGTGGCTCAAATTCACTACCCTGAGATCTGGAGTTGCATGCTTTACCAACTGAGCCAGCCAGGCACCCCTTCTGTTTTCTATTTGGTGCTAAACTTAAGTGAGTAAAAGTAGTTGTTATAAATAGAGAAATTCAAAAGATGTTGACCTGAAGTCATTTAAGAATATGTTATATAAGTACTTTTGTATACAAAATATTATTTTTAATGTTTACTTTTCCAAATTTGTTTTCTATTGTATAAAAAAAATTAGTGAACATCTCTACTTTTTTTCTCTCCACTCTTCTAGGTCTCATTGTCCAAAATGTGGCTCTACTGGTAAAGCTGAAAATGTCAGTTACAGATACAAACTTTCCTTAAAAATTGCAGACTCAAACAACTTGTTTGTCATTACTGTATTTGGAAGCTGCTTAGATGCATTTTTTGGTCTTACAGCCAATGGTTTGCACAGGTAAGAATATTCAAAGCATTTCCCCCACCCAGCTTCTTTAGCTTATCAGTAGAATTTGAAGATACATGTTTTTAAGGTAATATGCATTTAGTTAAAAGATGATCACTTGACCTCAGATTATCAATTCCTTTTAAAAGATAATTAAATAGAAAGGTGTTCATTTCCTGATTACATACTGTGATGATGTTTAACTAAGCTCCTTTTATTCAAGGCATATTAAGATGTAATAAAAATATTAGTTTACAATACTCTAATCTAGATTAGAGAAATAAAGGATAAGAAAGTAAAATTGTGGGCAGCCCCCGTGGCGCAGCGGTTTAGCGCCGCCTGCAGCCCAGGGCGTGATTCTGGAGACTCATGATCGAGTCCCATGTCAGGCTCTCTGTGTGGTGCCTGCTTCTCCCTCTGCCTGTGTCTCTGCCTCTTTCTCTCTCTCTCTGTCTCTATGAATAAATAAAATAAAAATCTTAAAAAAAAAAAAAGAAAAGAAAGTAAAATTGTTTCAAATTAAAGGAATATCTAAATCGAGGTTAACATTCCAGTAGCTAAAGTCCTTGAGATAGAAGAAGCTATTGAGGGAATAATTTGTGTATCAGGGGATCCCTGGCTGGCTCAGTGGTTTGGCTCCTGCCTTCAGCCCAGGGCGTGATCCTGGATTCCCAGGATCGAGTCCCACATCGGGCTCCTTGCATGGAGCCTGCTTCTCCCTCTGCCTGTGTCTCTGCCTCTCTCTCTCTGTGTGTCTCTCATGAATAAATGAATAAAATCTTTTTAAAAATAATAATAATTTGCATGTCAGAGGTTGAAATTTTGTCATTTCACTTGTATCACAACTTCATCTGCATAGTTTCACCTATTAAGGTATCCTGAGATATAAGAATGACATAAGCAATTAAAGCTTTTTCTTTCCTTAAGTCTTCTACCCTCTTCCCCTAATTACTTGACAGAGGAAATCTCTGTCCATTTCCTTGTAGTTGAGAGCAAACTGATTACCAAGGGAGGAAAGACTTCCTTCTGCTTTGAGGGCTAGAGATCCCACCACTACTTCTTTGCCACTATTGGAATAAATGTTGAGCCTGATTACTCGGAAGGCATCTGCTTTGAGCCTTTTTTTTCTATATGTAACTCAAAAGGTTTATGCTGCATTATCAGACTAATTGTATGGCAAGTTAAAATTTCAAAGCTTTTGTCTTCACATTTTTAATTTTCTCTCCAAGGTACATTCAAGATCCTGATGAGATTTCAGAAACACTGGACCGTGATGCAATTCATAATCTGTTAACTAAAGCAGTTGAAATTTGCTTTGTTGGACAAAGTTTTATTTTTGGAGTGACGGTAATTGAGACTAGCTTTCTTTTTAATATTCTGTTAGCATTTCCATTGTAATAAAATGATTTGAATTTTCAGAATAGTCTTTAGGAGTCATAAATATGAGGGTCTGTAGAAGCACTTTAAACTGTATAAAAATAGGCTCTGTTAAAATACCATGTGTGAGAGCTTCCTCTTTCAAGTCAGAAGAGCTCAGTTCAAATGTTTTCAGAGTTTTAAAAATCTAAATTTATTTGTTTAAATAAGTTTATTTAAATTTATTTTAAAGTCAGAATATTAGATATTTTGTTTTGATATTTGGTATTTATTTCACTTTCCAAATTTTGTTTAAATGCAGTAATAAAACTTAACAACTCTTTAATGGTATGATTTTGTCATCTGTAAAAGGAAGAGAGCACTAACATGGAAAGCAAAGTATCTGAGTATTGGTTACTCTAAGAATAGTAGGAAGAATGGCCTTAAATAATTACAAAAGTGATTGTAGAAGTTCTAAGAATATACTGACTCTGAAGGAATAATCGTTTTCTGTCTCATGTATGCTAGAGGGAACAAAGAGAAATTTTGCCCACACTTGAATCAAGGTTTTAAAAGGGGGAATAGCATTCCACACCTGAACAGTGAGAAAAAACTCAAAATAACAGTGAAATCAGGAGCTATAGAGTTTGTTGTTAAAATCTTAGGTGGTTTTTTTTTCCTTTTTTGCTTGGTTTTGGTTTTTGGTTTTTGTTGTCTTTTTTTTTAATGAGTGAGAACTTTTCCTTAAATATTCAAAGTTTCTGGAAGCTAATGAGAAATACAATAGTAGGTGCTATTGAGCAACTACTATTTGCTTAGCACTGCAGTTTTCCATGTTACTGATAATACAATAGTCCTGCATATTTATCCTTATTTTATACATAAATGAACTAAGATTCAGAGAAGTTAAATAATTTTACCAAAGCCCCCAACACTAGAAATGTTTACTCTAAGGTTTACTTCTATTCCTTATGCTACTTTGTCTATAACACTACAGGTATTGAAATTATGAGGCTAGGAGTTATAATTGTGTCCATTTTAATCTGTTAAGTCCCTGTTTCACCTTTGAGACAAAGGAAAAAAATTTTTATTGTCATTTAAATTCATTTACTTTCACAGAATTTTGGAAACCAACACGGACAAGGTTCAGATTCCAATAACTTCTTAAAGCAGTGCTCTGACCGCAAGAGAGAAGTTAAAGCATTAGTAGCTTGCCAGGTTGTTCTACCAGACCTGGGTGTTGCAGGCTTGACTGTCATTGACTACTTCCATCAGCTTTTGCAACTCTCTGATTCCAGGAAACTTGATGGCAGCTCCCAGGCATCAAATAGCCACTTACTTGCTTTAGAACAGACAAATAGTGATCCCCTCAGCATATGTGGCCCTGAAAGCAGTTCTTGTTTTTTCAAGTCCCATGGAAGAGATAATTTTTCAAGATTCCGGCAGGCATCACTTGAACTCACTTCTACTCTTTCACACCTAACAAATGATTTTTCAGCTTTAGAACAAAGCAAGGCCATTGATACTCTTCACCAGAACAGAAAGCACATCTCTTTTGCAGAGGCCACTGGTTCTAATAGGTGTCATGATGCCTTTCAGGGTTCTTGGAGCCTTATTTCATACATGGATAAAAAGAGCACAGCACAGAAATTGAGTGAAGAAGTTGACTTACAAGCTTATCAGCCCCGTGCTGTCACTAGCAGTCATGAAATCAGAGTTACTGACTCTGATTTTTCCCCTTTGAAAATGCAAGAGCCCCTGGAGTCAAGTAATAAAAAATCCTTCCATAGTGCTGTGGAAATTAATAAGTATTCCCCACATGAGCTAACATGTCACCAGTATCATGATTTAGATAACCCCTTTAGCCTTCAGAAGAGATCTACATGTTGTCCACCTTCATCACTCAGACATGAAGAGATAGTTAGTGGTTCCCAGGACTGTGACCCCGAGATTTGGGATGATCTGCCATTCTCTGAAAGCCTGAATGAGTTTCTGGCATTTGTCGAAAGTGAAATTGCTATAACCCAGAGAGATACCAGTAGTAGAAAATGTCATCTAGATAATGACATCGATAGATTACATGCAGACCACAGCAAGTTATCTGTGACTTCCCAGAGAACTACTGGAGACTTACATACACCACCTATAGCTTTAAGATTATCTCAAGCAACAATCAAAGCAAGCTATAACAAAGTCCTTTCTAACTGTGAAGAAAATCCAAGTCCTACTGTTCAGAAGGAGTCACAGTCAAATGACACAGCGGAGGCTGTTTCTATAAGTAGTAATGGAAGTGATATTTCTGAATATTTGCCACCAAATGCTTATCTGTCAGCTCTGTTTCCATCTTCAAAAGGTTCAGAAACAATAGGTACTCTTAAATCTACCAGAATTCCATCACATAAAGCTGAAACTATACTTAAGCACACTACCTCAGAGAGTGACCATTCTTGTCTCAATAGCAAATATTTCAAAAGATGTGGAGTAAAATCACTTTCAGAAATGAATGAAAAGTTGGTAACTTTGTGTTCAAGGAGATATAATAATGTTTCTGACCTTTGCAATTTAGAAAATAAACAACATTGTAGGTGGCCAAAGAACCAAGGTGACAGTTTTACAATCTGCAGAAAACTTACATATCCTTTAGAAACTCTTTGCAGTAGTCCAAATAGAAGTACAAATACACTGAAAGAAATGCCTTGTGGAGGTATCAATAACTCAACACAGAACTCTTCTACTGGTCACGAAGGTAGCTATAATGCTTCTGCCGATCTCTTTGATGATAGTGCTAAAGAAATGGACATTACGACAGAAATTGCCAAAAAGTCACAGAACATTTTGCTACAGTGGGGAAAATCTTTGACAGAAAGTCATCGTACAGAATCAAATTTCTCACTGAGATCACTTCCTAAGAATTCCAACCAGTCTTCACAGAAGTTGTCTTCACAAAGCATATCTGCCTCTGTGTGCCCAAGAATCTGCTCTTCTCCACCTCGTTTTCAGTCAGATTCAGAATATGATTTTGGAGATAGCCAAGACTTTGTTCCATGTTCACAGTCAACTCCAGTTGCAGGATTCCACCAAACAAGAATTCATGAGATGAAAGGAACTTTGAAAAACTTACTTGCCTTTTATACGGATCTTGATGCTAGCTATAAAAAAAGACAGATTTCCTCTGAAAATGATGCTCAGCAAGCCACCCCTAGCTGTCCAAACAATGTAAAGACACCCAGCCAGAAATTCAGAAGCCCTGTTAAATCTGGTATTATACAACCAGAGGTTTTCAACGATAGTCTTATTGCTGAGTGTTCTGAAAGTGATAATGAATGGATCCCTCCTACCACAAAAAAAGTATTTCCTTCAGAAATTCTTGGATTCCAAGCAATGGGTCTAAGGAAATGCTCTGCTGCCTGTGATTCTCCTGATGAAAAAGAGTTACCAAGAAAGAAACTGAAATGTGTCGAACGAATAATGAATTCAGGCTGGCTTTCCAAAGACTCGGGTTTGGGAGTTGGATCTTGTTCAGAAGTCCAGTGTTGCTTTCCATTTTCAGAAAATTGGCCACCTTCCATGCCTGAGACTAAAAGCAGTTGGTCTCCTGAATTATTTTCATAAAAAGTCACCTGAACCCAACTGCTAAGCTTGTAAAGGTAAGTCTGTTTGGAAGCTTTTGCCTCCCGTGGTATGGAAAGCAATGTTAAGTTGTAAAAACCCGAACAGAAGCAAATAGAAAATAGGCATTGTTGTACTTTTTAAAATGTAAAGCCATTGTTTTTCCCAGCATTTTATCCAGAATACACTCGTTCAAATACTTTGGCACTTTATTTTACATTGTTGATTGTCCGTTAATGATATTGTTAATTTTGCTTGTTAAAAGTATTTATTAAGATCACATTTACATTCAGAAATAAAGATTTTGCAAACCAAAACTTAAAGTCTTAATTGTTCTGCACAGCTCAGAAAATGCCTGCTATGTATTAGGGCCAACCACCATGCTGAGTTTGTGATACAAAGCTACGAGATCAGTAGTCTCATGGAGATTCAATTAACCCAGCAACATCTATGGGCTGAGGATAAGAAAGGTAAATGAAAACTTACTGTTTAAAGTTAAATGTGAAACCATTGTTATTTTATTTAGTAAGTATTTATTGAATGGTTACCTCATACCAGATACTGGGCTACGTGCTAGGACTTCGAAAATGAAAGTCGGGCCCATTACCTCAAGAAACTCGTGGTCTAGTAAACAAACAATAAACCTCTGGTGAGTTCTATGATAGGTTTAAGCTTGCAGAGCTTGGAGGAGCAAAAATGAGTAGATTCTAGATTCTCCTTAGCAGCACCTCAGTTGTACCCTGTGAAATCTTTTACAAATAATGAAATCTTATGTCTTTGCCATTCACCAGAGCACTTCCTCCAAATGTACACTCTTCATACCTTCAACCTAGACTACTCTCCTTGCCCCCTGCATATGAAGAAGATTGAGATCACTTGGTGTTCCTCAACTACCCACACCCATAGCTACCCACTTCTCTGTATTCATCCACAGCTTTTTTAATCTCAGAATATTATGCACACCTTCTACTTACTGCTAATCTTTCTTTTGGGGCTGTTGATTATTACACCCATCTTTGCTTTTTTGCTACTAACTTTGGCTCTCTCCCCCCTTTCCAACTTTTTACTTTGAAAATTTACAAATACATGGGATGCCTAGGTGGCTCAATGGTTGAGCATCTGCTTTCAGCTCAGGTCATGATCCTGGGGTCCTGGGATCAAGTCCGGCATCAAGCTTCCCACAGGGAGCCTGCTTCTCCCTCTGCCCATGTCTCTGCCTCTCTCTGTGTCTCTCATGAATATACATATATAAATAATCATTTTTTAAAAAGTTTACAAATACAGAAAAGTTGAAAGAATAGTGAAATAACATCTATATATACCACTTAGATTGAGTCATTCTTAACATTGTGCCTACTGTGTATGTGTATTTGCTCTTACTATATCTATATAGATGTATAGTTGTTTTTGATGAACTGTTTAAAGACAAGCTACAGATACATTTCACTCCCAGATACTTTGAGTTTCCTTAAAGTAAGGACTTTTTCTTCTACGTAATTTCAGTATCGTCACACCAAAGAATAATAACTAATTATCCAATATCATCTAATATTCAGCCCATATTCAAATTTTTCTACTTGCCCTAGATTGTCTTATAATTGTTGATGGTGTTTAATCAGGATTTTAGGGGGATCCCTGGGTGGCTCAGTGGTTTAGTGTCTGCCTTCGGCCCAGGGCGTGATCCTGGAGTCCCGGGATCAAGTCCCATGTCGGGCTCCCTGCATGGGACCTGCTTCTCCCTCTGCCTGTGTCTCTGCCTCTCTCTCTGTGTGTGTCTCTCATGAATAAATAAATAACATATTTTTAAAAAAATAATCAGAATTTTATTAAGCTTCATCCATGGGGTTTCATTGTGTTTCTTGCTATTTTTCCTAGGACTTTATTTTTCACCACGTTGACTTTTTTGAAGAAATCAGACCATTCTTTTGTACAATGTCCCACATTTTAGATTTGTATATTTACTTCTTTATAGTATCAGTTCCTTGTTTCTTTGTCCCCCATTATTTCCTATAAGACTGTCTTGATTAGAGTCAGGTTTTGGCAGAGATATTTCATGAGTTATGTGGTATACTTCATGTTGAGTCACATTAGGAGACAGGGTCAAACTGTCTATTAGTGATAGTAAATTAGATTGCTTAGTTCAGTTGGTGCCTACCAGATCTCACTATTATAAAAGTACTTTTTTTTATTCAATTGCACTTATTCTTTTTGATACTCTATATAATACTCCTTGCTACCTCCCTGCTAGCTACTCTTGTTCATAGCCAGTCTTCTTTAAAAAATAGTCATTGTCAACTTTCACACCATTCACTGTTTAACCTGCTACAGTCTTATTCCCAACTCCAGTGGCTTTAGTGTCAGTGGTTTTCTGACCCTGAAATCCAGTGGGTTTGCCATTTCTTATTTTGTTTGATCTCTGTACTTCTTCCTTTACCAAGCTACTGTTCTCATGTTTTCTGGTTTTGCCCAGTTTCTGCTCATCTTTGATCAGGACTGCCTATGGGGCAGATATTTTTTTATCAGGGTCCTTGTCTATATAAACAATTTGATTTTTAAAATGGATTACAGAATTCATGGGCCCATGTAAGGTAGAGTGTTTTGTCAATAAAGATTTAGAATAATGAATAGAGAAAAAGGGCATGTTTATTATTCAGTCAGTGCATGTGAAGATTCTTTATAGTGTATAGAAACCATCTCTTCATCTTTATTGTTAGGTGTGCCATTCCTGGCTAATTTCATATCTTCCACTGCAATAAAAGAATAGTAGTGCAGTTATTCACAGTGCTATGACTCTTAAGAACCTGTTTGGATTGAACTATATGGATCTTGTCTCTAAAGTTCCCTCATACCATCTATTTAATGCTGGTTATGTCATTGCTGATAATGTTGCATCCATTGTGTCACTGAATACTGGCTTCCAATGACTATCAAAAGTCATTGTGGTGCTTCATTGATGATTACCAAAAATGCACATCTTACATAAAATATGCAGGAAAGTGAATAATAATTCATTTTCTGGTTATGTTTACCATTTGGATATTTATAGCATAAACATAGAATACATATTCCAACCATGCCTTCTCTTGAACATTTTAGGCTGTAATTACTGCATTCCTAGACAGTGATCTCTTGGTCACACCCAGGAATAATAGGCAAGAGGCCCAGGCGTGGAGCAAAAAGAGTGGTTTCATTTGTGCAAAGAATGTCCATTCCTTCATCAGCATGGCTTAAGTCCAAACTTGGAGAGTACAGTATCACTATCAATTGAAACAAGAGAGAGGACACTGATTAGAAGGAACAGTTGGCATTGTGGAGCACTAGTCTTAAAAGGCCTCAGATAGAAGGGCCTAGCCTGACACAAGGTGCAATACCTGCAAAGGGTTAAGTGATCTCCTTAGTGCCAATGGCATGTGGTGAATAGGGTGAAGAACAACTGCCACTACCCTCACAAGCCTGAAGTCTATAGACTAGAGACTGCATCACAGTTGAAACAGACTAGTGAGAGCCAGTGCACAGGACCACACACACACGACTTAATCCTAAGGGTCAGTGATGATATTTGGTAGCCCAGAACCTGGAATTCATCATTTGCCCAATAGAATCATCTAAACAAAGTACCATTCTTGCAGCCCAATCACATACTGTCATGTGAAAGAAATACTGCTTCATCACAGGAATGGTCTAATGTTCAGACCCAGGGCTCCTCGTGGCATGTGCTCCACACAGCATGAGTTAGAGGATTGGAGGTAGGTACCATCTCAAAAGGGAGAGATGGTACCTATGCCAGGCACCAAAGTGAAACTCAGAAAATTTTAAGAGAGGTACTTTAAGCAACCAGATCTCCATGTGGGACCAGGTCTGGACTCAGGCTGCCTTGCTTAGTCCCAGGAACTGGAGAACCTAAAAAATCTTGAGCAAGACACTAAAGCACCAGTCTCCCTGAAGCATGGGTGCTGAGTCAGGATCCGTATACTCAGATCTCAGAAATATTATCTGACCATCTCTTATTCTTTATTTTGTTATTTGTCTACAGTTTAAAAGATGGTGCCTGTCACTGTTCTGTTATTGGCCCTTCTACATATACTTTGGTCGAATTTATCCATTTATCTACAGTTACCAGTCATAGTCTGTTTAATCCAAAGTCTGTCTTCTGTCTAGACTTTCTCCTGAGATTCCATTTGTATGTTAGTATTTTTGTTATTCAGTTTAAAGTGTTTAATAATTTACATGTGGTTTCTTTGACCCATGAATTTTTTACAAATGTGTTTTTCTTAATTTTCAAGCATATGTGTTTTTTTTTTCCTAGTTACCTCTTTATTGATGACTTCTACCTAAATTACACTGTGGTCAGAAAACGTATTCTATATTATTTCAGAGACTTGATTTGTGGAGACTTGTTCTGTGGCCCCATCTATAGTCAGTTTTTGTAAAAATGCCATGTATGCTTGAGAAGAACATGTATTCTGCAGTTAGTGGACGCAGTATTTTGTATGTATATATTAGGTTAATCTTGTGCAAATTACTTGGACTGATTTTCCCCCATTCTATCAATTATTGAAGGAGATATTTTTAAATTTCCCTCTATGATTGTGAATGTGTTTTGCACTTTAGTCAGGTTTTTTTTTTTTTTTTTTTTTTTTTTAGTCTATTATTAGGCACAACTTCAATTCTGTATCTTCCTGATAGACTGAAAGGTACATCTTGAAATCTCATCACCATGATTTTTTTTTTTTTTAAGTAATCTCTACACCCAACATGGGGCTTAAACCCACTACCCTGAGATTACCAGTTGCACACTCTATGGACAAGCCAGACAGGTGCCCCACCATGAATGCTTTTTTATTTGCTAATATCCACTTATCATTGTACTGCATTAGCTTGTTTTGATTAGTATTTGTAAGAGGTTTTGGGGTTTTGTTTTCCATTCCTTTTTATTTTCCAGTATCTTTATGTCTTAGATATGTTTCCTATAAAACTCTTAGTTGGGTTTTGTGGTGTTGTCCAGTTTAACATTCTTTTTCCTCTAACTGAACATTTAATCCATTAACAATATAATCAAAATATATTTAGGCTTATCTTCTTTCATATTTCCTATTTATCCTGCCTGTGGATTCTTTCCTTCTTTTCTGGTTGTTTATTTTTCTGCTATCATTCTTGTTTTTCTTTCTCCTAGGTTTGGTGATTAAGTGCTGTTTCTTTTTGTTTTTACCATAGAAATTAAACCATGCACCCTTAGTTTTTCAAAGTGTAAGTCTAATCAATGCCTATAATCCTATCTGAAAGACCTTTAGTCAT